TTGGCTAACTCTATTAAATGGTTTTGTAGAGGGGGAGTTAGAGAGTTATTTCGGTGTGGTGAGTTATTGCCATTAAATAAAATAAATTATAAATATACTACTATTATGAATTATTCACTTGTCAGATCCTCCCAAAAACAACTAACTAAAATTGAAAATGAACATTTTGAATGAGCAGAGAAAGTGGCTCTTTCCCTTCACTCTCTGACTGAAACCGATGCTTCCGAAGAAGAAAAAAAAAGAGTATGTCACAGTCTTTTAGAACGCACAGACCACATCATTAGGGAAGTAGAAGAGGCTTTGGATAAGTTGAGGGGGGCACGTTTCTCTGAAAACGAAACTTCTCTTCGCGAAGAAAGAAGTCATCTCATTCAGCGCTACCAAACGCTAAAAGAAAAATTGAGAAAAGTAAGGGGAATTATCTCGCGACAAGCCGGAGAAGAGGTAATGGTAGTGACTCCACTTCAACAAAAGAATGTCAAAATAGGTTATTGTTATTTTTGCGATGTAAGTATTTCGGATAATTTTGCTTACAAATTAAACGAGAGAGAACAAAGCACGCTTGGTATTGAACTGGCGGAGGGGACTGCTTTTTGCTCGCAAAAGTGTTTATGAAGCCATTGTAAAGAATACAAAAAACGGGAAGAATTACGTCAAAATAAAGCCGAAGAAATTAAAAGTAAAATTGAAAGGAATAGTAAAAAAGTTACTGAAATCCGGGAAAAAATAACCACGCTTACCGAAAGAATAAATGAACTAGAAAAAAAGGAATGAGAACTAGGGTTGTCACCGGAAAATAGTCAAGTGGAAAAGCCTGAAAATGCTGGTTTTTTTCGTCGTCTAGGGCAAAAATTAGGTTTAGTAAAAAAACCTAATCCTCTTTCTAAAATAGAGAGAGTAAGAAGATTAAAAGAGAAATTAAACATCCAACTGAAAAGCGAAGGAGAAGAACTGAAAAAGGCTTTATTATTCCTTTCATTAAGCAAACAAAAGGAGGAAGAAAGAAAAAGATTAGAAGAAAAGTTTCTCTCTAAAAAAAATAAAATTGAGGTTGATGAACCCACTAATAATGAAAAAGAAAAGATATTTGATGACTAAGTCAAACCACATCATAATGAATAAAGATTAAAACTATAATATAAATGCCACGTAAAGCCTTAATTATTAAAGCCAATAGAACTCCCAAATATTCCAGTCGAAAATATACTCGTTGCCGAGTATGTGGTCGCTCCGGGTCAGTTTTTAAAGACACCTTGCTTTGTCGAATTGATTTTCGCAAGCAAGTTTATGAGGGACTGCTACCGGGTTGGCGGAAAGGTTCTTGGTAAAAAATTGTAAAACTATAATATAGATATAATATAGAAGTAAAAATAATATTCAAAGTTTAAAGATTATGAACCAAAATAGAAATTTAGAAATATTAACTAACCAACTTGCCATGGTGTTAGAAGCCTTGGAGGAATACATTAGAAAGGAGAATTGTTATTCTGATTGGACCAGCAAGGAACAATTTTTTAACCGAACTATGCCGAAAAATGAGACGACTTCGGAGAAAGCCGAAAATCACTTTTTTTCTCAATTTTATGTCGCGAGTACTTTATTTTTTAACACAGAAAAAAATGAAAATCATCGAAAAAAAACTCAAAAAGAATTCTACAAATGAATTGACTATTCGGGAATAACGGCTGAAAATTGTCCGAAAAAGTTAAAACACATTTTAAATGAAATTAATGAGGCATTAGAAAATGGCAATAACCGCCTTTACTCTGCTTATGAAGCGGCAAGTGAAAAGGAAAATAGAAAGATAATTAATCTTGACCTAGAAAATCCTCTCCATTGCCAAGCCTACTTAGAAATTAATAAGGAGTTTGGTTATGCTCCTCAAACTGAAAAAGAACAACGAGCCAATTATCCAAAATATTATGAGGTAAAAATTAAGGGTGATGCCGAGCAAGGTCAAAAGACTTTCCAACAAATCAAAAACTCAATCGTTAGTCAACCTGAGTGAACTTTTCCGCTAAGAGAAAGGTATTATCAGAAATTAAAAGAAAAAATTAAAGAGTTAGAGGAAAAAAAAGACCGTCCAAAGCCAAAAGATGAGCGAGAACGAGAAATGATTCTCGAAGCGTTTGCCGAAGAAACTTTAATGTCTCTTGAACTTTATATCCAAAAACTTGACTATTATCCGGGCTGAAAAACTAGCGAATGAACTGAGCAGGACAGAGAAGATTGACGAAAAAATTGGGAAAATAAAACCTCCGAAGAAATTAAGGGTCTCGTTCTAATTGATTTAAAAGGAGACGCGTTAAGGTTAAGATATTTTAAGGCCGATGACCCTGCCTATTATCCCGTTTTACTTAATGAGTTAAAAGTTAAGTTTGCTCAGTGGAAAAGCAAGCGAAAAATTGACCCGAGTAATTGTCCTGAGCAGTTAAGACAAATTTTATTTGAGATTGATGAAGTATTGGAAGGCAATTGAATTTGAAAAAAAAATAAAGCGGATAGGAAAAATAATAACGAGGATAAAACGGAGGAAATAGCAAAAATTATGGTTGAGATAAAGTTAAAACTTGCCGAATTAAAAAAAGAATATAGAATTGACCTTGGTCCGCAACTTAATAATTGAGAAAGTAAACTAATGGCTAGCAAAAATATCTCAGAAGCCAAATCCTATCAGCAGCAAATTGAGCAAAAAATTCAAGCGGCGAAAGCCAAACATCAAGCACCAGCCACTACTAACGAAAACGAAAATAAACTCTCCTGGCCAGTCAAAATAGCCTTCGGAGCCGGAATAATTGGGTTAGTTCTGGGAATAATAGTATTAATTGATCGAGTAGTTAAAAACCGAAAAGTAAAAAAATAATATATGACCTTATCTGATCCAGTTGCTAATATGCTAACCATTATCCGTAATGCCAACCTGCGGGGTTATAAAACAGTTGTTTTTCCTTATTCTGCTTTTAAATGGCAAATCTGCAAAAAGTTAGAAGAAAGTAATTTTCTTTCCCAGTGCTGATTTGACGAAAAAAATAAGCAGATTAAGGTCGATATTAAATATAACAATCAAAATAGTCGTATTCACCAAGTAAAAAAAATTTCCAAGCCTTCCCAACATATTCATTTAAGAGTTGAGGAAATCAAAAAAAATTGCCGTGGTCGGGGTATTTATCTTATTTCTACTTCCCTCGGTTTACTAACCCACCGCGAAGCCTTAGCCCAAAAGCAAGGTGGCAAAGTTATTTTTTTTATTAGTTAAAT